GGCTGGCCCTATCCCAAGTGTTAAAAATAATAATGGATAATAGCGCATCAGATTCTGATTAATCCTATTTCAATGAGGGATATCAGAGGTTGGGTTCTGTTTCTCTCTGCCGTCTGCCTTCACCGGCGGTTTGGGACTTTGAAAAAATGTGATACATGACCTTCGTCTCTTTGGTTGTACGCACACGTGTACATCTGTGCATTCCTCAACCGTTAAATTGAGTGTCCGGCGCTTCATTACATAGGTGAGGGCTTTTGTTTGGGGGCGGTGCCATGAATTGAACCTTAGGCCTCAGGTATGCTGGGCAACAGCCCTACTACTGATTTATGCTCCTGTTTCAAACTGAGCTCTTTGAAGACAGAGGTTTATTTCTGGCCTGAGGTATCTCAATGAAAATAATATAATAATAATAGTAGTAATGAGGACGTGGGGGTTGGAGAGATGGCTCAGGGCTTAAGAGCACTTGACTGCTCTTCCAGAGGTTTTGAGTTCAATTCCCAGCAACCACATGGTGGCTCACAACCATCTGCTACAGGATCAGATTCCATCTTCTGGTGTGCATGAAGACAGAGCGCCCATATACATAAAATACATGAATAAATAAATCTTTTTAAAAAGGTCATGACTAAGCCTGGCAGTGGTGGCACATGCCTTTAATCCCAGCTCTCGGGAGTCAGAGGCAGTGAGTTCGAGACTAGCCTTGTCTACAAGAGTGAGTTCCAGGAGGGCCTCCAAAGCCACAGAGAAACCTTGTCTCGAAAAACAAACAAACAAAAGTCATGACTGCTCCTGGGTATGGTGGAGGAGAAGCTTTATTGTAGATAAAAGGAAGAGCATAGTCAGAGGCAGGGACATCTGGGAGAGTGAACATGACCAGACTGAGCTGGGCCATGTGAGAAGAGGGGAATGGAGGGAGCAATTGCCAACTAAGAGGAGTATCCTGGGTCAAGAGACTGGTATAGCCAAAAGGGCTGGATTATATGGGAAAGGGCGGCTGTGGGAAGGGCAGCCCAGCCCCTGAGCTATATAGAAGTTTAGGGTCGGGGTTGGAGTGTGTCAGCCATACCCTTTAACAGGTAGGGACTGAGAGATGCTGGGAGAACCTGGTGTCCAGGTCCACTTTGATATGTTAAATAGGCACCTCAGCAGTTTGTTCCGGGTTTGAGATCTAACCCTAACAGTATCCAACCATGAAACTGGCTCAAAGACAAAGCTCCTTCTAAATAGCCACTTGCTCAACAAAACTGGTTTGGATTTTTCAGTTATGTGAGAGTTGTTTTGGTTTTGGCTTGATACAGGGTCTCAACGTATACACCATGCTGACCTTGAACTCACAGAGATCCTTGACTCCCCCGTGCTGGCATTAAAGGCATCTTCATCATGCCTAGAAGTTATAGGAGAGT